TAAATTTAGAAATATTTCCGTCTTTTTTTTCCTTTTAAATTTATCAATTTCTCTCGTCACTTAAAGGATAAACTTTTAATGCATTTTTTAAAGTAGAATAGCGCGTAGTATATGAGATTTTACATATTTTAAAGTGGAAAAAAATGTAATAATTGTAAACGATATTGGTTACAAAACAGATGTTGAATGAAATAAAATATCCGAAAATTTAAGGAATGTTAGTTAATGTTTCTTGGCACATATTAAAGCTGAAATTTTACAGATTTTTGGCATACCACTATAGGAATTCCAATCTTTCTTAATGACTCGAGATTGAGGATTTTATGTTATGCATTATCGCCATATTCGCATTGTTAATGCCTTGCAACGTTATGAATTAAGGTCTTTCTACACTTGTCATTTAATATAGCAGTAATTTAAGAAAACTCGATGATAAAACGATTAGTTTTAACATATTTGATTACGGAGAGGAAACAGAAGAAGAAGAAGAAAAAAAAAATGGAGACAGAATTTAATGAGTTTATCTTTTCATCAGAATTTTGTGAAATGAGAAAGGCAAATAATGTACAAAAAATTTATTAAAAAATTAAATATGTCTCGCTTTTTTAAAGATTTCTTTGTTAGATAAACAGTTTGCACTCGCTTTACTCGCTTAAGACGATAATTAATTAGAAAAACTTCCCTCATTTAACGAGTAAATGTCTCCAATCGTGGAAGATTAATAAAATTTAAGTTTGTTTTTTATGCATTTATAAGCTTAAATGTGAATTATTAAATCTATAAATACTATTATAAAGGTTTGTATTAATTATAAAGTAATATTATCGGATGTACTGTACAGTTCATTCTTTAAAGTAGCGATGTATTTTCGAAGAGAAGCGACGCGACGTCGCTTCGTCGCATCGCGCGTCTAATACAGCGACGCGAATTCTCTATCGCAAATTCAACGCAAATTTTATTTTTAAAATTATAAATAACAAAACTAAAATTGTTATTTATTGCAAATGACGTATACTCTCATCGTATACGTCATTTATATCGGTAACGTTTAACGTATACCTTTTGCACGTTACATTTTTCGTTCTATAACTTATCAATTTTCTTAAATAAATTATATATTTTAAAACAAATAAAGTGTATATAAAACAAATATGGCGCACATATATTACCGAATATACACGAGAGAACACGAAAATTTCCAGAGACGAGCGACGCGTAACGCGACGACGTCCTTTTTTAATTCTATCAGCTAATTAAAATAATAAGCATTAAATTAATTTATTTTGTAATAAATAAATTCAAAAACTTATCTAAAATGTCATTTTTTACCATATTTTTAGTAGAAAGCATAAATAATAGAAAAGAATCCATTTTTTTCACCCAATACTACTTTATATGTTAAAACGTAAGTTGGAAACTTTATAAATTCGAGATACACCTGGTTAGAAAAAAGAGAAGAAAAGGAAAAAGAAGAAAGAAAAAAAAAGGAAAATATATACTGCAAAGCGTGTATAGAAAAGGCATAGCAAGTAAATTCCGATTTGGGTGTTTGTCCCGAGATGTTATGTTCAGATAGACAACAGGTTCCTTTCAAACAAGGCCGAGTTTTTCTTTGAACATTTTAATTTTAAAACGATTTTCTTGTGATATTTAAATCGAAGGAGGTGTCTATATCTCTGTAAGAGTCAAATGAAATATTCAAGAGGAGGAATATGTTGTTTGTCACAGATCCAGGGAGATTTGTCAGTCTATTCTCTGCCGCCTGCGCTTTTAAAATTCAAATAACTTTTTCTGTTTACAACCACAGGAAAAATAAATCTCGTTTCTTCAATTTTGAACATATATGAAGCGTTATATTGGTAAAAGATAGCTTTAACATTTTTATTAGTACTCTTGGCAACTTTTTTTTTCTATCTACAATTTTATTTTTAAATTATTTCTATTCTTACTTTCTTTAACTTAATGTATTCCGGCTTATAAATGTTGTCTTTGTTAATTTAAAAATTCGGTTTCAGTCTTTAAGAATAATTTTTTAATTGCCAAACTTTATAAATGTGCGTTTAAATTATTTAATATTTAATTAATTAAAAAATAACACATATCGCGTATCCTTGGATTTACAGTAGTTTACTAGCAAAGGTTAAGCTACGAACAGTTACAGATTTTATTTTTAAGTTAAGGTCTCACTCTACGAAAAGGACTCGTTCTATCCTTTAAAAATTCTAGTCTAAATCTGGCTCTAGATTACCGAGATTGGATAACACCACCGAATACTGGTTGGTCATGAGTTCATGCCTCAACAACGAGGTGGCCACGTAGAGTTTTCCGGGTCTTCTTCACGTTTGTAAATACCTAAGTAGGGGCCAATTTTCCATGGAAAGTTCTGGGAAGCGCCTGAGCAGATCGCCCACATGGGTTGTCATATACAAACTGGCCTTAGGTAGGATAAGTACTACTCCTTCGTTTCTATGATAAAAGATTATGGTGTTAATAAATTCATTTTTAATTTTTACAGAAAGTTTGATATCAGAATTATCACGCTATGTTAATTTGTTTTCTAGTTATGTTAATTTATTGATGCTTATACTATAATTTTATGAGAATTAGCTTCCTTCTCTGTGAGAAGGTAACTTATATACCGGATGATCGTAATCTAAGTACTCATATTTAATGCTGTTTAGAGAGAAATTTAGCTATATAAATGCAACCAAATTTGATATGATGATATTTCTGCTGAAAAAATTAGTTCCAAAACATGCCATTGTGGCCTTTTTGGCGCTGCACGCAACAAACATTTATTTGTACAAGATGTTATGCAGAGATCTTAGTGATGTTCTATGTGATTCCTATTTTGAAGATGTAAAATATGTAGGCAATTGAACAGCGTATTCAACGACTGATCATAATTAACACTCTATGATGCTTATCAAATGCAATGTCTTTCAAAACTATCAAATTTACCTGTTCCAATATACCGCATTTTTTAAGCGCTCCTACAAATGAAATTATTTTTTATTGCTTGCAGCGCTAAAAGTGCCATATTGACGAGTTTTTCACAGAAATATCTTTCGCATGTCTCGAAAGTGTAACCGTACCAAATGGCTGTATTTGAACTGCTAAACAGCGTTAAATAGGGGTGCTTTAATTACGTATTAAACAAGTTATAAGAATACCTAAAGTTAAATTTGGTTTTAATGTATGAAATATTTAAACTTTTCTAATCAATGTCATGTTTAAAGATACAATTTTCGTCCTTTAACACGTAAAAACATCGTTACACAGTTTGCTGAATAATGGTAAAGTCGTTTACTTTCCTAGACAGAAACGATCGATTTAGAATTTTGATCGATCATCGCTCGATCGCCTATAAACAAAGGACGCATTTTATGAGTGACACATTCATTCACAGAATAAATTTTTGGAAGAATCGATACAGCACCGAACAATATTTATGTCCCTTTTCGTTATATCAACAACGAAGAAGATAATGGCGGATTTCCTACCGATCGATTCTTTCGTGTTATAAGACTTTAATCTTCATCTTTATAAGAATTTGTCACCTTTCTTTCTTCAATCAATTTTTTTTTCTTTTTTTGAAGCAGATATATCGATTGTTGAACTCAAATTTAGCATCAACCACCATCTGGGAATTTTTTTTATCACTCTAACAAATGGCTGATTTCCAAACTAATGCACATTTAGAAAAGCTGCAATAAAATATTCGCTGACTCGAGTCATAACATCGAATTATTAGAAAGATTTATTTCCGACATTTCTATAATATAAACCGCAATAAATTTCGAAATAGATTCTCTCTCTCTCTCTTCTACGGCGCGCGCCGGAAGCGACGCGCAGAGGACGAATCAAGGTCATTGATACGACCTTGAAGCGTCCTTTAACCTGATTCGTCATTTTCTAATGTAAAAATCTGCCGGTGGCGGAGCTGAGATTGGTTTTTTTATATTTTTTTTAAAAAAAGATTGATTACTCGGAAACTCGAACCGGATCTAATAAAGAGGAGTTAACAGCTAAACATCACATATTTTGGCTTCTTGCAGATGGTGTTTGGAAGACAATTGGCCTGTCAATTAATGGGCTGACATTATTGAACGAAAGCAGAAAAAAATCAGTTGAAGACCTTTTAGGGATTGTCTGCAAAATGGATGGCTATACAAATAATCAATGATGTGCCGAGTTTCTTAAGTGACAAATCATATCTTATTTTATTTCGGACGTTTATTGATGTCAGCTGAGATCAATGCTTTCCTATTGACTATTTGTCACATGTGCAGAAGTATGTCGAATTTTTAGAAAATGCTGTTTTGTTTAAATTTTATTCCATTAAATGCCTCAGAGTAACATCTTATGTCTTCTACGTCGCATTACTTCCAACCACTCTCGATTTATCATCCGATATTCTCGACTTTTTCGATCGTATTTTGTACGTAAGAAAAAAAAAAGAAGAAGAAAAGTAAAGAAAAAAGAAAAGAAGAAAAGTTTAAGATCTAAAAAAATTTAAAAAAAAATAATAATTATAAAATATCAAGAATTCAATTTTATTTAATTAAATTTTTGAAAATTTTCAAGGTGGAATAATTTTAATTATCGAAATCATTTGCGAATGAAATTCTCTTCAGAAGTTCTTCCACCTGTGAATTTACTACAGAATATCTTAAATCCGGTATATATTTTTTTAATTGTTAGTAATGAATGTATGGAGTAGTTAAAGAGAGAAAAGTGAAAAGGAACTCTAACTCCTTCTCCCTTCTTTGTCTTTCCTCGCCATTAAGCTATGTTTATTGCTGCAGAACACAGTTCTCTCTACTGTTACGTCCTGGAATTACATTGAAAGTTATTTATTAAGTAAAATCCTCAAGGGACAAACAGTATGCTTTTTTCCCTCTTCTTCTTTTCCTTTGTTAAGATTTAAGCTCAGTACTAAATAGACTTTTCTGGTTGGATAATGTCTAGCACCTTTTTTTGGCATGTGTTCTTCACACCTGATACATTAATTCTTTATTAATGAAATATAATTTTAAAATTCTACTGTTTCTTACCTCAAGCGTTTGCATCAAATTTGGTTTAATTGCATCTTTCATAAATACTGTTAAAGCTCCAAATACACCCTAAAAATTTTATAAACTGTACAATACTGAATGTAACATATAATAGATAAAAACTAATGCTTACCAAATCTTCAGCTGTTATTGGATAACCTTCTTTATTACTAGCTACAACAATACGTTTAAATCTCTCTCTCATATCACTTAAATCAGTTGTTAAAGCAAGAATTGCCATAATTTCACTTGCAACAGTAATGTCAAACTGAGTCTTTAAAACAATCATAATTTAAATATTAAATAAGTAACAAAAATTCAAAAATATTTTGTATTTCAAAATTATGTAATATGTTAAACTCTAAAAAAATAATAAATACCATATAATTATTTAACAATTTATAATTTATTGTAAATTACAATTACCTCTCTTATCTTTCCTTTTTCTGTAGGTGATTGTCCAATTGTTATTTTACGGAGAAACCTGTCATTCGTATCTATAACTTTACATTTAAAAAGTTTATTATTATTATTATTATTATTAATACATACATACATACATACATATGGGTGTCCACAGAGGAGGCAAAAGGAACATTTGCCCCTATCTGAGATCAAGTAAAAAATTTCACAAACTATAATCTTGAGATATATAATCTTACACCCTCAGCCATGGACATTTTGAAGCAATACTGTAATGTACTTGTGAAAAAATACCCCAAAAAATTAAATAAAAATTAATTGATGTAATTACTTGTCTCCAAGCTTTGCCCCCTCACTGCCTCTATGGATGCCCATGTACTGTACATACATATAAAAATATTATCATCATTATATTTGTACATGTACAAAAATGTTACAGAGTATAATAAGGCTAAATATCATGCTAATTACATTATTTATTACTCATTACATAAAACATTATTCTTCAAATATTTCTCAAAAAGACAACTTAAGATTTTGTAATTGTTCTATGGTACATTTCCTATTTATTACCTCTTTGCCAAGTGATAGTAGATGGATCAATGTCTAATCTTGCAAATCGCTTTATTTCATCTTTTGTCAAATCTTTTGGATTTGTAGCTTTTATGCCTAATTTCTTTGTAAAAAAATAAAATACAATAGAAAAAATTTATTTATTATATATTCTTAATTAATGACTTACATTGTATAATATATAAGAATAAGCTAAAATTACTGATCTCATACAGTAAGATTTGCTTTTCATCAGTTATTTTCTTAATAGAACAAGAGGAATTTGTTAAATATTGTTCATTCTTTAATTTTAATTTACTTTTAAACACTTTTACATGGATAATAATAAAGTTATATACAAAATGCAAAAATATCACATAATAAAGTATATATAAAAATAAATAACATTAATTATAAATTTTCAATCAAACAACAAAATTCATTTCTGAAATAAAAACATTTATAAAAATAAAAATCTTGTTAAAATGTAAATAATAACTTAAAGACTGGTTATCCATGGGTTGATACTTATGTTATAATATAGAACTGAGATACATTAAACAAATAGTACAAGAATCAAATGATACAATAAAGTTAATTCCAATAAATTTTCATATAGGAACTGAAATAATATAAAATTGGTCCTTTAATATTAAAATTGAAAATTGGTATTAGTGTTATTTTAATACTAATACCAAGTTTCAATTATTCCAAGTATATCAAAGTCTGAAAAATATTTATGAATGCAATTTTATTTTTTAAACCTTCAATAATCTAGTTGACTATTCTTAGCATTCTGTATGATTTTAGTTTTAACGACAGTTGTAATTTCCTGAATAAGTACAAGATAATGAAACTAGCAGAAAATTTTCAGCATTTGCTATCATAAGTTACTTTATTACCTCTTTTTCCAAAATTAATCCTAATATCAAATATCACAAACTAATGGTCATTTATTTAAAGTTAAATAATTCTTTTTTAATCATTAAATATATCAATTTTATTTATGTTTAATGAAAGCAAAATATGAATAGCAAAAGCATTATCTGTGTTAATTTAATTACAATTATAATTCTTAAATATAAAAAAAATCAAATCATATTGACTTAAAATACCTGTAATCGTCCTTTTTGTATTTCTGTAAATTCTTGTTTTCCTTTCTTTGTAGAAACCAATCTTCTAAATAAAGCCTAAGAAAAAACATTTAAAATTATAGTATTGGAAATATTATTATGAAAGATATGTTTCCTTATGATACATCATATTTTTTAATATATATAACATTCCTATGGCTTATTCATATATCTAAAAACAATGATTTTTTAAATCTAATATTCAAATGTTTATTGTTTCATATCTAAATTTACAGATATATTAATATATATACAGTGGAACCCTGGTTAATGAACGTAATCCGTTCCACAAATCCGTTCATTAACCGAAGCAATTTTTCCCATAGAAATTAATGCAAATACAATTAATCCGTTCTAGCCGTTAGTATTTTTGTAATTTTATTCGTAAAATGGGTTTTCTTTGATTCTTTTCAAAAACAATGGGACAAACTTTTGCATCAACCAAATATAATTTAATATCCACATGTTAAAAGCGAAAACACTATTATTAAGTCAGACCAAAGTTCAGGGAAAAGTAAGGAAAAAACTTTACTGTAGTTGTCAAAACAAATGTGACACGAAAACATATGACGTAATGGATCAGGTGGATCAGGTGGAATGTCTGTGGGGAAGATGAAACTCTGACAGAAGCGGTCATAAACAGTCAATCTAGGTTAAATTTTTGGAAAAGGGGAACAATTTGACATGTATAAAAACATCGCGTACAATCATTAAAGTTCTAAAATGACAGATAGCAGAAACAATAGGCTAAATTATGAGCGAAAGGTTTATAGGTTTATCAACAATCTCTGATCAGAGTCGATGAACGGATGTCAAATAAATGCCTCACAACAAACCTTTCTCGTGACCTGATCTGGTTTCAGTTTTCACCTGGAGACAAAGAAGAAAACAATCGGGAAGTGAGGAATGGGACACAGGACTAATCGTAAGGTGAGATTCAAGGAAGAAATACTATAAAAACCCCGAATCCCAAGGTCAAAATGCAGTTTTCCTAAAAATTCTATGGCGATTAATCTGTGTCATCTTCATCTGAATTAAACCTGAAGTCATGCCCGCCAAAATTTGTGTTGTGCCTCACGGACTGCACCAGTCGTTGCAGCTCTGTCACCTACCATCGCTTCTGTGACCAAGTGAACCCATCTCATCCGCATTGGGGCTACGACTGATCAGCTTGCACTATCGTAAGACCAGCGATATACCACTCCTCAGTGCCGGGAGAAAATACTGTAGATAAGCCATTTCCAACCATCTCAAATGTGTAAGCATCTTCCTGTTCTAATAAACGATTTTCACTGTAAAATACTTGTCATCTTTGTCTCCTCCGCCACCACCAACGTACGAATGGACCATAGATCATCACTGACACACAATTAACTGATTTCCCCTAAAAGTCAGCAAGCTTACAAATTTGACACAAAAAGCCGTTAAGTTCGTTATCCGAGACAAAATTTTTGCAAAATAAAAGTTCGTTAACCGGGGTTCCACTGTGTATATGTATATATATAATTTCTATTATATTTTAAAAATATCTAATAATAATATGTTGTTGAAGCTAAGGGCTGCAATAAATTTTATCATTTTACAACTTAAAATCCACAGAAAATGGATTTTAATCATCTAATTCAAGCTAAACGTTTTTAATTTAAACATTTTTATTTAAAATATAAACATAAAACAAACATACTTCATCAGATTGTGTTGCTTCGTGGAACATACGTGCATCAATCTGAGCAGCTAAGAGATTATTGGCAGCAGTGATTGCATGTATATCACCAGTAAGATGAAGATTGAACTCTTCCATTGGAATTACTTGTGAGTAACCTCCTCCAGCAGCTCCACCTAAAATTATTTTTCAAATTATTATTATTAGAGGAATGACATAAATAATATATATTCAATTTATTTATTAAATTATGTTTCATAAGGTCTTTCTGTCAGCTGACATGATCTTGTGTAAATTGTGTGTGCAGTATTTTTCAGATGTTATTTTTATTTATGCAGAAGTGTAAAAAGCATTTTGAAAATTATATTTTATTGCTTACTTTCTTACTTTCCCAGGATATACTTAATTATATTTTTAATTATTTATGTCTTTAAGTAGGTGCCGATGACTCAATTTTTCATCATCACATTAAATTCCATAAAGATTGCTCAAATTGAAAATAAATAATTTATTTTTAATCTGTGTAAAACCGACATATTTTAATGTGAAAAAATGAATGCATATTTGGTGCAAGTTTTGTCTTCTTTCAATAGTGGCAACTCAAGTGTTCAAATTTTTTAATTGAAATTCTTCTAATATGATTTAAAGTTAGCTTGTTCGGTTTTCCACATTTACATTGTAACAACAATAATACAAAAATTAACTTTCCAAAAAGATAAATAAATATTGATATACCTTTAATTCCAAAAGTAGGTCCTTGAGATGGCTGACGAACACAAGCAAAGACATTTTTATTTAGGTGAGCACCAAGTGCTTGACACAAACCAATAGTAGTTGTACTTTTACCTTCTCCTAAAGGTGTTGGTGTAATTCTATGGAAAAAAAATTTTTTATAGTAAAAAGTAATTACTCATATAATACAAATTTAANATTTTTTTAAAATAAATTATTATTATTATTATTATTATTATTATTATTATTTTGCAAATTAATTTTACTAAAATAAATTAATTATTAACAATACAATTAACAATTAATTATTTTTAAATTAGTGACGAATTTCGTTCTTAAAACCTTGTTTTCGATGCATATACCACGTCTAGAAGTCATAAAAATACGTTAAAAATTCCCTGGGAAGAGGCTAATTATTTAACTGTGACTTGAAGAAACCTAAAAATTAAAGTTAAATTTAATAAGATTCGTGTAAAATTTAATCGAAGAGTCGGTGGAATACAAACGAGTTCAGGTTAAAAGGTCAACCATCTCCAGTTTGTCTCATACATTTAAAACCATTAGACGAGTCCAACAAATTACTTAAACAATATCAGCTTACCGATATGAAATCCTAAAATCTAGAAAGATCAAATTCCTTTATTGTTATTGTTATTATTATTATTAAAGAGCCGAAATTAGTACAATTACTATCTAAAATGCTCATATTTCTAACTCTTATTGTTACGTCGCGCACGCAACTCTGTATGACGATTCACAAAATACTAAAACCCTATAAGATATGAGGCCCACATCTCACGCTTATCATCGAGCCAATGCTACATCTTTATCTTCAGTAGTTACTTTCAAGTGATACTTTATACAGAAACGAAGAAAAGCACCCCCAGAGCGATCCTCTGACTGCTCAATTTAGCTGAATCCAAACGTTGCACACACAACAACTATTAAAAAAAGGAATATATATATAATAAAATTCTAGAAAGTCTTTTAATCAAACAAGATTTTTGTGAATGTAATAGAGATGTTGATGGCATACAAATGCGTTCGGGTCAAAGGGTCAAAGCGAGTTTCAATTTTTGCATCTCAATCTGCTAGGAGCCATCAAGAGCAGATCTGTGGGTGTTCGGCGCCTCCAATAGAGGAAAAGAGAGAGAGAGAGAGAGAGAGGGAGAAGGAAAAAAAAAGAAGTAAAGCATTAGTCTCCATCTTAGCGATTCTTCGGATGCTAGAATAAATTAAGTTGTCCAGCGCAGCTGCGGGCACCAACTAATTGAATGGGTCTTGCAAAAGCACGATTACTTGTCGTTCCACCCACTTTTAAGAAGTTTCTTCTTTACGTAAATTGTTACTTCTGATAATTGTCTATTAAGAAATTTAAATCGAATAATCCTTTAATTACAATAAGTTAATTTGTTTAAAAGTTAAAACGGATTCAATTTATTATTATAGTTTGGAGAGCCATAAGTTGGGGTGCGATCAATGGCGAATTGGTAGGAATATTTCCACTTGTCAGGCAGCCTGAACTGTCATCTCCACATGACAGATGTATTGGAAAGAGAAGAATTTTACAGGTTTATATGAGAAGGTGTTTAGAAGTCCGGAAAGCAGAAATGCTTTTGGATCGCCTGTAGAGCTTCGACTCTTTTGTACGAACATTCTGTTAGGGACAGCCTCTGATTGTATTTTGTTATCGTTCAGTTCTCCGCATCTTTATAGAAGCACTTTCTTCTTTACAAAAACGTATGCGATTGACAGTGATTAGTACTTTTTATGTAGGTTATAAGTGACAGAATTTTTTTCTTCCCTTCTTCTTCTCTTTCTAATTTGGATTTTGTTACTTTTCGTGGTCATTTTTGATACTTTCCTTTTAGCTTGTTAATTTTTTTTTGAATTATAAGTTTTTTAATATAAAATNAATAAGAATAAAGAGGTGGTGACTCGTAAAAAAAAGGAAGGGTTTAGTTAGAAATTTATAAACACAAAATAAGCTACTGTATATATGTGTGTGTTATTTATTATAAAGTGAATAAAGACTATTCAATTTTATTACAACCCCATAAAACAAGTAAATAAAATGAAGTTTAAAGGTCTGGTAGTAAGCCTATAATACCACTATATATAAATCTAAGAAGTAGGTAAAGAACTGAGATGTGTTTACAATTTTTTTCTTTTCTGTATTATTAACAAACTTACGAATTTTTTTATAATGAAAATTACATAAATACAGTAAAATCTGTCTAAAATGGACACTACAGAAAACGGAAACCTGCTTAATTTTAAATGAAAAAAATAAATCTCAGAACGGGAGATTTTCTGTATGAAATATTTATACAAGACGGAAACCTGTCTAAGAAGGAAACGGAAAACTCTTTGGGCACCAACTGCGTACATAACCTGAGTATACGGAATTTTTCTGCGTAACAATGGCTAAATTCTAAATCATATTAAAACACATTTTAAAGCGTTTTTTACACGGATTTTTTCTCTCTCTGTGTTCTACATATATAGGTTCAACGTGTTTTTGAAACGTATATTAAATTAATATAAATCAAATATTAATTTCAAAATTTAAATATTGTTCATTTTTATTATAGTGAAATGGTGCATTTAATGAAATACAGTGAAATCTCTTGACTATTGACAGAAACATAAAATGTGGTCGTTGTTCGGAGGTGGCCGTTGTTTGCAGGTGTTTTGTATGCATTTAAAAAAGAAACGTTCCTGAATAAATGGCCGCCGTTTAGAGGTGACCGTTATTGGAGGTTCGATTGTATATGCTAATGAAGTGATCAAAGTGCTGAAAATTTGCTTGAACTTTATTCAAATTTGAATTTTAAAGTAAAATGGAAGACTAAAGCAGTATTTATTTTGTTTTGTTATGGAAAAAAGTGTAGTACAGTCGACCCCCTATAACACTGTTGATTATTTCGTTTTATATGAATTCCATGTTGTACGAGTCACTTAGATTTTACAAATACGTATGCCGGGCTGTACGGCTCACGTATTTGTAAAATCTAAGTGACTAAGTGAAGCATTTATATGAGGATCTACATCAAGACATTTCGTATTTCATATTGATGATATAAAGCCAAAATTTATTTACAATTTCTGTCAAATTTACTATTTTTGACAGCTTATTTCAATATTATATGCTGGAAATTTTTACTAAAAGCTCGATAATTAAGTTTAAAAAAATAGAATTTCGAATCTGCAAACCTCGAAACTGACAAGTAAACTGACAGAATCGGAAGTTTAGGCGCTTATAATCCATCGTATCAGCATTACAATAAGATAATGCTGATTACAAAATATATATTTACTCAATTAATTGTATACAAAACGAGTACAAAGAAGCAATATCAAGATAGAGATCAATGAATAATCATAAACTAAACTTAGTAATATATAAAAGCAGGCCGTTACTCGATTTTATTCCCTATCTAGAAGCATTAAAGGAAGATGAAAATACCGACTAACAACATGTGAAAGGGCAAGATTAGCGAAATCAGTATATACAGTAGTGTCTTCATCACTCTAGAAAGGTTAATAACCAAATTTCTGTCGTGGCCTCGAGGGACGAATCTAGTAATTTAAATTTCAAGCTCTGAAATTGGGTAAGAGGAGATAACACGTGCATGGATAGTTACGAATTGACGAAGGGAGAGACACCAACTGCTGATTAGCTCATTTCTATCGGAGCATGAAACTGGATCAACAGGATAATTCGTCAATGTCTTCTCTACAGGAAGTGAACAGGGTACATTTACTGCAGATACTCTTACTTTACCATTACTTTTTCTGTTCCACCAGTCGATATGAGAAGGGGGTTTACACCACTCGAAACTTCTAATAAAAGTTTTTAAAAAAAATTATAGAAATTTAAGTAATTAAATTACTAGAATTTTTGTTTTGTCAAGAATTTTAGATGTATTTCTGTATTATTTTTTTTACTGTTTCAAAACATATTTTCTGTAGAGCATGTCATCGTTTACACAGATTATTCCGTAATCTTCTTAATGGAAAGATAAGGTGGAGCTTTTTTGAGAACTTCGCCGCCTTTAATGGATTTACCTGAATGTACGGCATTTTACGTGCCGAATAAAAGAAGATTAGCTTCATCTAGTTATATATAATCATTAATTCGATTAAAGTTAAGTAGATAATATAAATAATTCGATTGATCAATTTTTATGATGGAATATTTCATAAATATATTAAACGCTATCTTCAATCGAAACAATTCTTTTATTCTTAACTTCATTTTTTTATTTTTATTTTTACATCACGATAAATGATGAGAAAAGGACTTTTTTCTATTTTTTCTATACAAGTAACGTGAAAAATGCCTTTATTATGCTTGTTAAAATCCTTTAAATCCGATCCGAGCGACATACTATGCAATGAATGTTGCTTGTCTGACATAAAGAAGAATCGCATTTTTTCTTTAAAAAGTACTAAAATAAAGTAAAAAATGATTTCCTACGTTGGAAAAAGGTCAAAAATTTAATAAATCTTTAAATTTTTTCGATAAAATCCTTTCATTCACACTACATCATCAAGATGTTGATCGGTAAAGTTAAACTCTCTCACACTCTCTCCCCCTCTCTACCTATATATATATATATATATATATATATCATAATTTAGCAATCTCTAAAGGATAACTGTGGTCGTTAACAGTATTTCCTGTTTTTTCATTATTTTTTTACCCCATTCTTTCATTCTTCTTCACACTAGAAACTACTAACAGAGAGAAGTAGACCCTATCGATGCCATCAGTCACTCCCTATCAGTCTTGACATACGATGTCGATGGGGTGAAAATGGCGATTGAAGTGGGTGAAAGATGAGGTTGGGATTCGTTCACGGCTTTGAGATACAACAGTTTGGATTACTTAATGAAAACTTTTATCTAAAAAAGAAAATTTTTAAGTAACAAACATCATCATCATCTTAAGTTGAATGGATCAATCTGATAATCAAACAGTTTACGATGTGTACGATGGGGGTTAAGATGTAATTGTAACATTGGTTGTTGGCCCCAAGGCGCGCATTTGATTAAACTCATTGCTGTAGATAAAGAGCTGTTAGTGAGTTATAGTTCAAATTTGAGAGTTAAAAATGTCATTTGGGAATAATATAGCTTTATGTGATTTACATGAAGCTATTCTGAAGATGACAATTGGAAGCTGTCGGATGAGGTGTATAAATTGTTAATGAGTAGACTTAAACTAGATCAATTTTTTTTCTATTTAAATATGCGCTATTTTTAAAGTAATAAGCTCTAAATATCTTTCTGAGATAATTTTATAGTTGTTTACGACATCCATGGATTAAATTTTTATTTAAAAAGACGAAAAATTATGTAATGTTCAGCGCGCGTCAAGTCGCGTGGCGATTTACATTTACCTCCAATTTTCTCATTTTTAAACTTTAAAACAAATATATAACCCGAAAAGAGAATTATAAAATCTTTTAAGATAATATTTTAATCTTTAAAGCTAATCAAAAGTTTAAAATACACAAAAAATATAATGAAAAAATCATTAGGTAGTCACGCATCGAGCCGCGTATCAATTCGATTATCCAATACAAATGACTAAAACTTAATGTATTTTCTTAATTAAACTAAATTAAAAATACCTAATTTACTTAAAAATGAAATTTAATTTTAATTAAACATTAATAAATTAGAAATTTCATTAAATTCGAAATGAATACAATCGTAAGCGCAAGTATAACTGCTAAAGTATGTGTATAACACGAAATAAAATTACTAAATAAGCTTGAGTTATTTATATAACTTAAATGTAATTTTTTCTTAAATTAAAATTTAATTTATGAAACTTAAGTTTAATTTAATTAATAGCTTCAAAAGAACCTCTTGGAACGAATACTAATCATATTTAAAGCATCGGTACGAACCTTTTTAAGCGGTGCAAGTTTAAAGATTCATTTTAAAACACAAAAGAAGCCGGAGAGAAAACTTTCTGGATTAAAAAAGATCACAGCATCTTGTATAATGTTTAGAGAAGGTAGTGTTTCCATTAAAACGATCGGGGAGAAGCTCCGACGTGTAGTGAGAGCAGATTGGAAATCCTTCCAAGTAACGTACGTCATCAGATAAACAAACGAAACAAACTTTGTTGAGCTTTTCTGACCTAAGATTAGCATATAAATCGAACCTGTGCCAAGTGAACTTTTCCACGTTTCCTATACGATTCGAAACATTCGAGTTCTTTCTTCTTCTTTTGCATGTCAAAAACATGTAAAAAACCCGTTAAGAAGATTCACCAAATTACTTATACCATGAATCATTTTGGAAGTGAATGGGACACTTTCATCTTTCAAATGCTATTTTTTTTCCAATGGATACTCTCTGTATTAAAACGGTGAAAAAATATATATTAAAATGATCCTCTAGGTTATTAATGACTCTTAAGTTTAAGTGAATTTAAAGAAGTTTGAAAATAAAAAAGTCGACTTCATACAAATGCCTTTCTTCTCTCATCGATTTAATTCGGTTTAAATATTTAAAAACTCTTCTAAATTGTTTTTATAATTAATTATTTTTAAATTAGTGACGAATTTCGTTCTTAAAACCTTGTTTTCGATGCATATACCACGTCTAGAAGTCATAAAAATACGTTAAAAATTCCCTGGGAAGAGGCTAATTATTTAACTGTGACTTGAAGAAACCTAAAAATTAAAGTTAAATTTAATAAGATTCGTGTAAAATTTAATCGAAGAGTCGGTGGAATACAAACGAGTTCAGGTTAAAAGGTCAACCATCTCCAGTTTGTCTCATACATTTAAAACCATTAGACGAGTCCAACAAATTACTTAAACAATATCAGCTTACCGATATGAAATCCTAAAATCTAGAAAGATCAAATTCCTTTATTGTTATTGTTATTATTATTATTAAAGAGCCGAAATTAGTACAATTACTATCTAAAATGCTCATATTTCTAACTCTTATTGTTACGTCGCGCACGCAACTCTGTATGACGATTCACAAAATACTAAAACCCTATAAGATATGAGGCCCACATCTCACGCTTATCATCGAGCCAATGCTACATCTTTATCTTCAGTAGTTACTTTCAAGTGATACTTTATACAGAAACGAAGAAAAGCACCCCCAGAGCGATCCTCTGACTGCTCAATTTAGCTGAATCCAAACGTTGCACACACAACAACTATTAAAAAAAGGAATATATATATAATAAAATTCTAGAAAGTCTTTTAATCAAACAAGATTTTTGTGAATGTAATAGAGATGTTGATGGCATACAAATGCGTTCGGGTCAAAGGGTCAAAGCGAGTTTCAATTTTTGCATCTCAATCTGCTAGGAGCCATCAAGAGCAGATCTGTGGGTGTTCGGCGCCTCCAATAGAGGAAAAGAGAGAGAGAGAGAGAGAGGGAGAAGGAAAAAAAAAGAAGTAAAGCATTAGTCTCCATCTTAGCGATTCTTCGGATGCTAGAATAAATTAAGTTGTCCAGCGCAGCTGCGGGCACCAACTAATTGAATGGGTCTTGCAAAAGCACGATTACTTGTCGTTCCACCCACTTTTAAGAAGTTTCTTCTTTACGTAAATTGTTACTTCTGATAATTGTCTATTAAGAAATTTAAATCGAATAATCCTTTAATTACAATAAGTTAATTATGTTTAAAAGTTAAAACGGATTCAATTTATTATTATAGTTTGGAGAGCCATAAGTTGGGGTGCGATCAATGGCGAATTGGTAGGAATATTTCCACTTGTCAGGCAGCCTGAACTGTCATCTCCACATGACAGATGTATTGGAAAGAGAAGAATTTTACAGGTTTATATGAGAAGGTGTTTAGAAGTCCGGAAAGCAGAAATGCTTTTGGATCGCCTGTAGAGCTTCGACTCTTTTGTACGAACATTCTGTTAGGGACAGCCTCTGATTGTATTTTGTTATCGTTCAGTTCTCCGCATCTTTATAGAAGCACTTTCTTCTTTACAAAAACGTATGCGATTGACAGTGATTAGTACTTTTTATGTAGGTTATAAGTGACAGAATTTTTTTCTTCCCTTCTTCTTCTCTTTCTAATTTGGATTTTGTTACTTTTCGTGGTCATTTTTGATACTTTCCTTTTAGCTTGTTAATTTTTTTTTGAATTATAAGTTTTTTAATATAAATTATTTGTTAATTTATGATAAACGATAATTGTAATATTAAAAAAGAAATTATTTCTGTCGCTCTTTTTATGTGTAATTCTTAATTGAAGATTTTTGCTGTTTTGTTTTAAAATTTCGACAGAATTTTAGGAACATTTTTACGTTTTTTTTTTTTTAATTTACTGACAAATTTCGATTTTAGTCAAACATTTTAACAGAAATTTCAATTTTATCAAAAATTTTCGAAAAAAAATTCCAATTTCATTTAAGAAAATGCGAGAAAAACTTCAATTTTTAAAGTGAAAAAATTCAATAGAAATTTCGAAATATTTTACAATTTAATATAAATTTCAATTAAATTTTTAAATTTTAAGAGAAAATTTCATCGAAAATTTAAAGAAGACAATTGAAATTTTCGGAACAAGTTTATAAAATAAAAATATTTATTTTAGTTTTTATTTTAAATCCGAAACAAAGAAACAAAAGTTCATATCTGTATTATAAACTCAAATTCTAAAAAATTACATGAAAACGATCCGAGTTACGTTTATGAATTTAAAATCATTCAAACAGAAAATAAAATTCGCATTCGTCCATATTATAATACCATTTAACAGTAGAGTTTCTTCAGAAAGAAAAA